TTCAACTAACTGTTTTAGTATCAATTTGGTCTCGAAATTACTGTTATCATCATTAGTATTGTAATGATATTCCCCTTAGAGGGGCTTTAGAAACATCAGCAGGAAGGCAGGAGTACGACGATCATCCTGTATCACGTATCCCAGATTGCTCACCAACCTCTCAATGATTCCTACATACACCAGCATATTTCCGAACACTCAATATATGCCGCAGTGACAAATAACGTCACAGAAGATTCTGGAATGTTTTGGAAACCATCGATGGAACAATTAGAGAGAGAGGTTTTGTTCTAAGAAGCTTCTACATAGAACAAGAAGAAGGAGACGAAAGATCATTCGAGAACGTTCTCGAACCAAAGCCTGCCATGTGTTCTCATATATAAGACGGCCGAACAACTGAGTCAGTCAGTTAAGCAGCGAGTGCCAGAGAGACAGTTATATACCGCGTGATATAAATCGTTTTACATAAATAGTAGTTATAAGTTCGATATAAATTAGTGTTTCTTTAGTTTAAATAAATCAGTTCGAAAATAAATAGTGTTGTGTTCGCTTCTGCACCCGAATAACGTAACAGTAATAAATTGTAATAACACCCGATTCCTATTTCTTAATGAAATTAAAGAAAAATAATTCCCCTTGATAAATCAATTTTGAATTCCAACTTCTTGTCATTCCATATTACTTGCATTGATTATTTCAAATCCCAATCAGTCGAAAACAGTTGCTCACAGCGACCTCTACCAAGAATATATTTTGTACAAAAAAGTGTTATAGAAATCTATATTTCTACTATACAACGTTATACAGGTACGCACAAAAAGTTGACTTTTCAAAAGACTCAAAAGAAATGTAGGTGGCGCCACCCCCAAGAAAGAGACAAACTAACATGAAATTTGATATTGTCATTGAAAAATACCCCTAGATACCAAATTTTAACCCAATATCACAATTATTTTGCAATTTATTAACAGAAAACAAAAATAAGAATTCAACTTTATGACACTCTGCATCTCAGAAACGGATAACCTTCGGACATAATATGTTTATACGAACTTTTCTTCTTATTTTGACGTCAGCAACATAATCCTGAATTTTCTACACGTACTTGAAAAACAACCTGTACAGTGAGGACGTAAAAAGTCCTCCCCTCCCCCTCCTTTAACCTTTGAACGGAACAAGCTAGCGAGGTTGGGTAAAATTCAGGCAAAAAGTTACCTCTTTTACTACTATTTGGCATGAAAATGGTTGTGGTCACGTGACCTTGTGTCAAGTAGGCACTATCAACTTTTGTTTGCAAATATAAAGAGGGGCCACGTGGTACCTTGTTTTGAAGGTATTTCAATTCTCCATCTAATAGCGCTTCGTTGTGCAAATCGGCGAAGGTGTTTCAAAATGACAATCATTTGAAATTTGTTTCAAATAATAAAGGACTTGACAATTGACTCAATTTATTTCACGCACAATTACGAACACGGGCGATTCGAATAGATGAATAAGAACTAATCAGATCAATGGAACTCCATTGTTGATTGGATAGTAGCGGGCATATTCTGCAAATATTAGTTTTGACGTAGAAGCTCATGTTCATAAATGAATAATCTGCAATAATTATGATTGATTTGACAAACTGAAATGGCATATAATATAATAATATACCTGATAAGATTGATGCGGTCGCTCGAATTTTTTCCTGTTAATAAAAATTAGATCCAAAATTGTTCATCATATTTTCACAATGAAAATTATCAAAATAAGTTGTAATAAGCTGTTCTTCGAATTTTGAAATTATTGGCTATAAGTTTTCGATTATTTACAATAATTAATAAGTATTTTGAATTAGATTTAGTAATTTTGCAATCCCAACCTTTCATATTTTCAAAGATATATTTCTGAACTCTCAAAGTTGGTTTGATATTCGAATAGTTGTAGATAAAGTATAGTATTCTACTTACACATAATGGCCTTTGGCTAGTACTGCAACTTTCATCTTCGTGGATAATAGCAATCATTATGCGCTCGTTGAATAATATATACCATAACAAAAGAAGGAACAATCAGAGACATCAAAAGGAGAAAAAGAAACGAACTCAAAGTCGGTCGACTTCTGAAAAATACACGACCACTTTGAGAATGGACGGTTTCCATGACTAATCAGGGACATGCTTCAGTCTTATAAAAGACCATCTTCAGCCTTATTAGAAGTTCTACAATACAAACAGGATTGGTTTAACAAAACTAAAAGTATTTGGTTCACTTACTTGGAGTCGGATGTTTCAAGTCATAGTATATGTGCTTGCTAATGCCCTACAATTTTTTTCAACTTGTCTGACTCCAACTAAGTGAACCAAATAGTTTTAGTTTTGTCACACCAATCCTGTTTGTATTGTAGAACTTCTAATAAGGCTGAAGATGGTCTTTTATAAGACTGAAACATGTCCCTGATTATTTAACATCTTTATTGAATTGTGTGGAGACGATTTCGAGCTTTCCTCCCGTCCTTTCACAATACCATTCCACTTTGAGCAATATGGACTTCTACAAAAGATTATACAGGGTGATTCATTGGGAAATGCGCATACAGTGAGGGTAGATGGAGGACACCAAGGTGCTTCTGAATAATCTATATTTCATCGGTCTATCATTTATTATAACCAAGATACAGGGTGATTCATTGATTTCCACTCTTTTCTCAATTAATCATAGCTTATGAACCACCATATACATGTTTTTGATATTTGGTTTGTATGTTCTTCGTCCACAGTGGTTACGATTGACATAATAAAAAAAATCTTATTCCAGGGCCAGTCTTGAAAAAATTAATGAGTAAGTTTCGAGTTAAAACAACACCCTGTATGTCGATATTTTAAAATTTTATTTCCATATTTGGAAAGAGCAGGAAAAAATTAGTAAGACTGAATGTATTTGGTGTATCCGCATACAACTTTTTCACCTATTAACTTGAGTCAAATCTAGGGGTTCCAATAATGAGGTGGTACAAAAAAAAATTGTCATCCTCCAAATGTCACTTCTCTATTTTTTACCCATAAAATTATCAACTACAATTTTTCATTCTCCAAATTTTTGGATCCAAACCTAATTGAAAATCTAGAGAATTAGTCCGTATTTAGGACAAATTATTATTATCAATGATACATTTAAACACCCTGTATGTGTAAGAACATTATCATAACATTTGTCTATCGCACTACATTCAAAACAACAATCATGGAAATGAAGAAAAATGCCCAATCCAAAAAAATCATAACTTTGTTTTAAACAAGAACAACGTTGCCACAAATCTACATTTTAAAGGTTAAATATAACAGAAAATAGGAAAACTAGAATTTCTTTATCCGCGTCTAATTAATTTTTTAGCTAGAGTATGGTTATTTCTCGACTCTTGCATTCTTGATAATAATAATAAAATGAAGCAGTCTGTACGAACCCTTTGGGTTTGATATCCCAAATCGTTGTAAAAGTCAAATTGGCTTTTGACAATTTTGACGTTAGTTGATGAGTTTTCACTTTGTACTTGTGTTTTGCGTTATTCGTATTGCTTACTTAATGATACACAAGTTTGGTATTGATGAACATGTTGTATGTCTATGGATTTAATTCAATACAATTTGTTGCAACGACATCTTTGTTATAAAGTTATGCTTTTTTCGGAATGGTCATTGTTCAACATTCTCCTAATTTTTGTTCTTAATTTAGTACAATAAACAAATGTTTTTGATAATTTCATGATATATTTCTTACACATACAAGTTAGTCATTTATAATAATAATTTGTCCCAAATACGGACTTGTCCTCTAGTTTTATAATTAGGTTTGGATACAGAAATTAGGAGAATGAGAATAGATGATGATTTTTTGGATTGAAAATGGGAAAGTTCCATTGGAGGACGACATTTTTTTTTAAATTGTGTGCCACCTCATTATTGAAACCTCTAGTTTTAACAAAATCGTATGCGGAAACACCAAATACATTCAGTCCTGCTTATTTTTTCCTGCACTTTCCAAATTTGTAACTGACATTTTGAAATATTCATAAACAGGGTATTTTTTCAACTCGAAACCTACTTATCAATTTTTTCAAGACCGGCCCTGGATAAGACTTTTTTATTATGCTAATCGTCACCACTGTAGACAAAGAACATACAAACCAAATATAAAAAAAATTATAGGGTGGTTCATGAGTTATGATTGATTGAAAAAATCAATAAATCACCCTGTATCTTCGTTATAAAGAATGATAGACCCATTCAGAAACACCTTGGTGTCCTCCATCTACCCTTGCTGTATGCACATTTCCCAATGAATCACCCTGTATACTATAACGCTGACGCACCCATAGGGGAGATGAGATTATTGGATCTTCAGTGAGAAGCAGGGAATCGAATGATTCACATTCACACAAATAGTATCTTGATTATTTCACGAAAATTTGTATTCTTGGGTTTTTTGTGCATTTTTTCTATTTTTGCATAAATATGAAGTGTATTATTCATGGCTATGAATCGACTATGAAGAAGTATTGACACTGTGGTCATGACGACTGATATTTTGTTTTCATGGCCTAACAACATTTTTCCTGTTTTATACGCTGTTTCCTATGAAAATGGCATGAAAAACAAATATGGCGCCCATAAGAAAAATGGTAAATCTGTGAAACTAATAAATATAGAATATTTCTGAGTGAAAATCCAAACTTCTTTGTCATGATTAATTACCTGCTCACACAAAATTTCAAATTTCTCCCTCTAATATTAACCAAGAAAACAAATGACAACGAAATCAGTGATTTTCAGATATTGCAAAATATTCCAGGAATAGCAGACATTTTTCCAAATTGCATAACGTCATATTGAAGAGGTTCAAATTACGCAACTTTTCTCTGATTTAATCAACTTTTTATATCTTACCGTTTAGGTAATAAAAATACTGTCCCTATTAAATAGGCGGGACCCTGTATAGAACTAAAAAAAAAAAGATCTTACCTTTCGACATTATTCTCTATGTGAACAGGGGTGGGAGATGGTGAAGCCGACGATAGGGCATCACCTGGCAACTGAAAAACAAAAAAAATACAAGTGTTTCATCATCTTTGAATACAGAAAATGTAATGAAAAATGTTTTGTTTAACCAATCAAGTAGAAGGGTAACGGTGCCATGCAATGGTGTTTTCTACACGAAAAATTTTTTTTGGTACTTACGTATTTTCCTCTGAAAAACGCGAATTTCACAATGAAAATGTGAACAAACCGCTATTTATCGAGATATTTCACAAAAAAGTTTGAAATTGAACCCATCTCGGATATTCATTTACAACTACTTGTCCTTCTTTTTCCATCACTGGACATTTTATCTACTCATGTTGTACCTCAATAACACATTTTATTTCCTAAAATCAACAAGAAGATGGTTTATTTGGAATTTTTTCATATGCAAATGAGGTAAACAATAATTTGGTTTCTCGCAATTTTTTTCACATTTGACATTTCGTATTTGTATGATTGTATGGTACCTATGACTAGATTTGATAATTGAATGGCCGTCAGCTGGTGTCCTGGTGTGATTGTTTACCTCACCAAAATATGAACAAAATTCCAAATAAACCACACTTCTTGTTGATTTTATGAAATATAATGTGTTATTGAAGTAGAACGTGAGTATATAAATTGTCCAGTGATGGAAAAAGAGGACAAGTAGTTTTTTTTTTAATTGCATTTCCTCGTTGGTCCCAGCACTGAATCCAACGCCCCATGAGTCGAAACTTGTGCGGGAATAGGAAAGCATACATGTACCAACATCCATGGCCTAACTGGGATTCGAACCCATGCATCGGTGGGAGTCCCCATACGAACTCAGTGCCTTCGCGCTCTCGACCACCGGGCCGCCAAATTGTAAATGAAAATCCAAGATGGATGGCAAAAGGAGGTGAAATTAGGAACTTGTTCCAAGTACCAAAAAAATGTTTTTGAAGAAAAACCCATTGCATGATAAGTGCATCGTTACCAGAAAAAGAAGTGGAAAATGTATCAGTCACACTACACCTTTTCCAGAAGTATTTCAGAAAGCGTCAATTTAATTTCAGAATAGTCACTTGTATTTCAGAAAGCGTCAATTGTATTTCAGAATAGTCAATTCAATTTCAGAAAGCGTCAAATGTATTTCAGAATAGTCACTTGCATTTCAGAAAGCATCAATTGTATTTCAGAATAGTCAATTCAATTTCAGAAAGCGTCAATTGTATTTCAGAATAATCAATTCAATTTCAGAAAGCATCAATTGTATTTCAGAATAGTCAATTGAATTTCAGAAAGTGTCAATTGTATTTCAGTAAGTATCATTTGAATTTCAGAAAGCGTCAATTGAATTTCAGAAAGCATCAATTGTATTTCAGAATAGGCAATTGAATTTCAGAAATCGTTCTCTAAAGACTGAAAGCCAGCGACCACCAGACAACATTTCAACAAGGTTGATATTTTCTATGTCGTGTGTTATATCTTATTCGGTGGAATCGTTTGGGAGGTTAAAAATCTTCAGTACTGGATGGGCTTTCAAGAGATACCGGGTGTTGAAAGTACGAAAAAAAATACATCATTTCCACAAAAGCTGATCTTTTTATTTTCAATTGGATCCTATCATGAAAGAGAATATACAATTGCCAGGCACTTTCCACGGGGTGTTCTCCTGCCAGACAACTTTATAAATCGTGAAAATATCATGACATTCACGTCAAAGCAACAGAGCTTGATTTTGTAAATGCTATTACGAAGCCTATTTTACAGTATCAAACAGCCATCAGTCACTTCCTATTGGACAAACATGTAAAAAGCAGAACTTTTTCACAGCAATAGAAATAAGTGTATCTATGATAGTCCCCTATACCTGAAATTCCGTAATCTATCCATCCAATAGAATGAAGGTACCTAAAGGTACAAAAAAAAAAGGAATTTGGGGTGATTTAATTGAAAACATCACTACAGGAAGCACTGAACATCCTATGCATTCTTACATGGAGTGCACTTTCTACTTCGATCTTGATGCTTTCTGAAATTCAATTGACGCTTTCTGAAATTAAAATGATATTTTCTGAAATACAAATGACGCTTTCTGAAATTCAATTGACTATTCTGAAATATAATTGACGCTTTCTGAAATACAAGTGACTATTCTGAAATACAATTGACCTTTTCTGAAATTAAATTGACTATTCTGAAATACAATTGATGCTTTCTGAAATTGAATTGACTATTCTGAAATACAATTGACGCTTTCTGAAATTAAATTGACTATTCTGAAATACAATTGACGCTTTCTGAAATACATCTGGAAAAGGTGTAGAGTAAATGTGTTATCAACTATTTACTTACATCATTCAAAACAGTACAGTCACAGCTAGCCTGGAATTTTTCCTGTTCAGTCTGTGGCCTCCGCAATACTTTCTCCCTATCTTGTTTGTGTTTCCTTTCAGCTCCCTTCAGCTTGAATACCTGAAAAAGATTAACATGTCATGAAACAACCCTCAAAATCACATCACAAAAATATCCGATTTTGAAAAACAAAAAATAAATAGTATATTACGTAATATGTGTTGTAAGAAGCATATTACCCACGAATGGAAAAATTACTTAATTCCATGAGTGCGTAATTGCTTTACAACACGCATTACATACTATACTTTACCTACTGCCATATAGTACATGAAAAAAGTTTGGACAACAGTCTGAATTATAATTCTTGACAGTTATGTCATCCGCTGTTGACGGCGATTACGCGATCATGACATACCTATGTATACTGGCGGAATAAACGAAAACTGTGCGTTGTGTTTACTGTGCGTAAAGAGCTACTTACTGAGGCTGTATCTCGGGTGTTTTTGCCTACTTTCTATAATGACCGTAGGTAATAGTATATTATGTAACAAGTGTTATAATCGTCCTTTTAGTAACGAGTAGTTTAAGCACGAGCGGAGCAGAGCGGAGCGAGTGTTTAATAAGCGAGTGTCTAGAAGAGTTTATAAACGCGTTACATACTATGTTTTTTCTGCGAACTCCGCAAATTACATTAATATATCTGCTATTCCTGATAACCAACAAAATAATTCGAAAGGAATGGGAATTGAGAACATAATACATGCAACTGCATGCAACCAGCTAGACACGTATAAGTGATATTGGTTGTAGATGTGTCCAGTCCATTGCTTACTAACCTTTGTTCCACTTTTATTGTCATGCTTAGCGCAGAATAAATAAATTGATCTCAAAGATGGATGCTTCAGTTTTAAACTTCTTGGAGATATGCAAGTACCAGAACATCCTCTTCGATATCACTTTCGTCTACTTTTCGCATATATTTTTAATGAAGAATTCTGATACAAACGAATATTGTTTGAATAATTCTGATACAAAATTCGAAAATAACAGTTGACAGTTAATACAATTGACAGGCCAGACATGTCTCAAATTACTGAAGCTGTGTTTAATGAACTGCGTTGCCATGTTAATGTGTTTAAGAAATCGTGTTGCCATGGTAACGTGTTTGATATTTTGAATAAATCACAGATCGACAATCCGTGATTAATAGATCATTTAGCGTGGTACATATCCGTACGCTAAATGCCATTTTAGTTATGTGAGTAGAAAATCTAAATTTACCTATCAGATACTACAAGTAGGCTCTTATTATTATTATTTCAAATTCCAACTGTAACGTCAGTGACGCAACTTTTTGTTGATAAGGAATCAAATGTTTTTGAATTTTTTTTCGCTAGAAATTATATTTTTGAATACAATACAAGTTGACGTTCGGACCAAAATTGGTCGAAATAAAAGAAAAGTGCTCAGCTGACAAGAAATTGGTATTTCCATAACATTTTTTAGTGTATCATTGAATGTGATAGTAAATGTCAGTGGAACGAATGTCAGTGTTTCATTTGTCAGATATTTCAACATTGCTAGTGATTTTAACTGGCCATCATTATCAGTGGCGTATCTGGCTACTCACTCTGGGGGGGGGGGGGTAATCCAATTTAGGAAAAGGTAGGTAGGTACAACAGAAAAAATAGAATTTTTCTGAACTTATATTATATAAAAAAGTATAAAACAAACATCAACATGAAATAAAACAAAACAGATCACAATAAAAAAGGAACATCATGTAAATAATGACTAGGTATACACATACCTAAACCTAATGATGAGTATCATTGAGAATAAAAATAAACAAAACAGCCACTAAATATGGGGTAATTTATTTAGAGTTGTAGTTTTATTTCTTCCGCCATATTTGGCAAAAATTGCGCAATATTTGCATATAACTCCATTAAGTGAAGCTGAATAAGCTAATCAGTTGAAACTGTCAAAATGTTTTTTAGACAAGTAGCATTTAATTACTTTCTGTTTTTTTACGTGCGTTGAAAATGGATAAACAAAATTTTTATCGGGCACAAAGGCATATTTTAAAAGCTTATATTTCTGTTCATCTGATAGTGTTTGGTTCATGAAAATACCTAAATCTAAATCCGACCCTTGCAAATTCTCATCTAACACTAAAGAATTAGCACCATGACAACCTTGTGAGCTTTCAGTATCTGAATGTGCCTCAACGTGACCGCGTGATTGATATCAGGAACGAGTCCAAGGTATTTTTTCTCTTACTCATTATGAATTGTTGGTGCAGGATATGCTCATGCTCATACGGAACTAGAAATAACTGATAAAGTAATATAATAAATAATATACCTATATTTGTTTATACTTTACATCATGAGTGTTTGCAGTGTGGGCTCTTATGAGTTGCTACAGCAACACATAGTAAACAAGCCATAAGATATCTGCAAAGTCTGGTGATATAACGTATATGTCACAAAAGTCAAAAGATCAGTACCCACACCTACCTAATAAAAACTAAAATATAAAATAGTTTAATTCAGTTTACCTATTTCTCATTCGCTGGTGCCGGTACACACAATATTATAAGGCTGACTTGTTTAATCAATCAGAACATTAAGATTGAAAGAACAGAAGAAAAGTCATTACTCAGGCCTTCATTAACCAACGGACGGACGGCTACTGCCGGAGCCGGAGTGCCGCTAGTGGCCACTGCACCAATCACTGCACTGACTGACGGTGACTACACACACGTTACACGTTACGTTGAGGACAGAGATAAGTTGAATACTCAAAGGTAATGGGTAACCTATGTCTGGTCAAAGATAAATATATTTAAATAAATCAGATGTTGCGCGCGGTGTTCGACGAGTAGGGTAGGTAATACCACCCGTATCTGTGTCCTGGTTATGAATTTATTAAAACGATAACCACAACTTTTTTTTTTAATATTTTTTGAGAATTAATGAGGGGCTCTGGGGGGGGTAATTACCCCCTTTACCCCCCCCCCCTCAAATACGCGCCTGATCATTATAATGAATAAGAGTGACTTCTGTTATCTCTGTATAATGATCAAGTCATAAGCTTTCATTAGAACTGAAATCCAATCTAACACTCCTCAACATAAATCTACGATTTGGTCGGAATTTCACCAGAAAAATAGTAATTTACGTAACAAGTCCAGGAAATACTGTTTTTTTGGACGAGCAGACTAAATTCTAGGCCGAGCCGTAGGCGAGTCCTGGAAGTCTGCAAGTCCAAAAAACTGTTTTTGGACGTGTTGCATACACTATTTTTTCGGCAACCATGTAGAATAACAAATCAATGAGACACATTTCCATATTATCGATATTTTTTTGTAGAATACGATTTCTTCTTTATTAATTCTCATTTGTATCAAATACTGAAATTTGAACAAAATACCTATATCTACTAACTGTTACATTGGAAATTTCGTATGGACATTTTCACACTCACTATCGCAGCTGCTTTCGATAGTTTATTGCGATAATTGCAACCAAACTTTCAAAAATCAAAATGTCAACTAATTTAATGTCAAATAACTGTCAGCCGATATTTCGCTGCTATGGTAATCATCATCTGCATTTATCAAAACCATATCTACCAAGATTTTCATAGTTGCAGTGACAACAACAATGTGATACCTCCCGGCCTAGTCCGGGAAGTAAGGAAAAATGCTACTTTCTCAAAGAAAAAGCGTCCGGGAAGTGAGCAATTCCCAGACGGTTGCCGAAAAAATACATTTTATTCCACTTCCAATTGCATCATGAACTCACCTTTATTTGACAAGCGGCCGCATGGAGTAATTTGGGACTACCGCCGAACTCCGCATGTTGGGGGTAAGTTTCCACCTGTACCCTGAACGGAACGCCTTTCTCTCCCCCATGCTTCTTCGGCGTGAATTCGGTGCTGATGCAGTTCACCTTGATGGTTTTTCAAAAGTTAATTTGTGGTTTTCGGCTAAAGTGATAGGACTTGAAACATTTTGTTGCAGGCAATGGGACTTTCATCATTCGGTCATTACCAGAAAAATAACATTTCGAAATGGATATGTCGGCGTCAAACAGTGAAATCCGTCATTCTTTGGAATGACTAGTCATTTCACGTATTGCCGGCAAACAGCGTAACTCTGAATTTCGTACACCGTTTGGCTAATAGTTTCAGGCATTCCCTGTAATGACGGAAGGAAGGTTCATTTAGGCCGAGTCAGTTTAGGTTGTTTAGAAGCAGTAGTCTCTTCTGTTTTCTCAAGTAATTTTCTGAAAAATATACTTTCTAGGAAGAAGGTTCATTCAGGCGGAAACATAGTCTCCCTTCTTATGCATATGCAGAAAGGATATTTATTTACAACCATATATATGTAATGTTGTCATTACTAACGTCAATGAAGGTTGGGAAGTGTCACATTACACACCTCTACTTCCCGCCCCTCACTCATATAATAATTCAGGAATGTTCAGAACGAAACATAGATTTATTAATTAAGAGAACAAACTCAAAGTCTCACTCCAAGTAAATGAATAAATTCACTTGGAGTGAGACTTTGTGATTGTTTTCTTAATTATCTCATCACCTCCAATTTGAGCATGGACTACTACCAGAGATTGATTTATCAATTTTGATCGAAATATGATGGTTGTGAATAAAATAGTATACAAACCTCGGTAGGAAGTTTCATTCCTGTCTCGAAATTATAGCTAACTAATCTCACGACAGGAATGAATCACTACCCACCTCGGTGTGTAATATACTATTTCCTTCCTCAACCCTCCGGCAGACAGAGTAACGGCTGAAAATGGAAGTTACGCTGTTCTGTTTGCCGACTATACGTGAAATGACTAGCATTTCAAGGAATGACGGATTTCACTAATTGACGCCGACAAATACATACCTTGGAATAATTCATCAAATACAATATTTTGGAAAATAATGAGCGTAAGTGTTGGTACTATAGAAGGCCCTCAAAAAAATGTGGAATATGACTTAGTGGCCACGTTTATACCGTAAGCTGACTAATTACTATATTTTAACTAAATAGTCTTGGTCAGTGTGGTGTTAACTGTGTACTTGTTGAAGTTACCAGCTTGGTTTGGTACCGAAATTTGTTTCGTACCAGACTAAAATAGTATGATGACCAAGACAGTGTAAACGTTAACACTTTAGTCTACTTTTGTACAGGGTGGGCCAATTTGGACACGCGAGATGTTTTTTTTTCACGTTTTACACGTTTTTCCTATTATTGACGCATGAAAGACGCTGTTTCTTCATGGTTTCAACGGATGCGAAACGAATTTTCCGCGTTTTCATCAGTATCTTCACGTTTTTGCTGCATGCAAGATCTTCAGGACTTGTATAACCATATATTATAGTTTGATAGTTGTATTTCCCTATAAGAGATTCTCATTTGTCGTCAATATGACGACATGTTTTTGAAACATAAGATTTATCAATAAAATCAATAAATAAAGAAGGATTGCATTACAAATTGTAATAATTCTAATATGAACCTTTATTTCATTATCATAAATCATTCATCAAATAACCAGACAAATACAGTTCACTACCTATCAAGCATCGAACATATTGGTCCATCGAACCGAATCTATTCAAATCAAACCTTCAAACTGCCAAAGGATACAGCACACAAGACTACCTGGAGTAAGAACAGATAGGAACAACCAGTTCAATCGAACACAATAAGATCTCTTCAGGATTCTACAAGCAATTATTACACTTGTTTCTCTTAGTTGACGCCTGAGATACTCTATTTCACATTTAATCATGTTTTTGGCGTATGCAACGTGTTTTTATAGTTTCATGTTTCACGCATGAGACACGCTACTTCATATTCATCCACGTTCTTGAAGTATTTTCATTTTTGACGCACATTTAACGCTCACCTTGATGTAGACGCCCACCTCCTTGGTGGGATCCCAGCTGAAGCTGACGACGTTGAGCGTTGACGTCGTAGGCGTCGTAGGAAAGATGCACGTCCGCCTCGAGGATACGGTCGCCGGGACTTTTTAATCCGTATGCTTCTTCCTCTGTATTCATGTTTTTGACGCATGCAATACGACTTTTCCGCGTTTTCACCAGTATTTTTAGGATACAATACGAATTGCAATTCTAACATCAACCTTCGTTTCATATCATTATCATATATCCATACAAATACAGTCCATTATCTATGAAGAATCGAACATATTGGTCCTTCGAGCCGGATCTATTCAAATCAAACCATCACGACTGCCAAATTCTCTACAAAAGGTACAGAGCAGCACTCGAGTAACAGTGAATGCCAATCAGCTGGAGCTTTCACAGATAGCAACAGGCAGTTCAAGCGAACACAAGACGATCTTCTCAGGATTCTACAAGCAATTACATTTGTTTCTCTTTGTTGACGCCCGAGATACTCTATTTCACATTTATTCATGTTTTGGCGTATGCCACGTGTTTTTTATTCATGTTTTCACACGTTTGTTCCGTTATTGACAAAAGAGGGGCGCTTTTTTTATGTTTCTACCTGTGCCGCCACATTTTTTCTTTGTTGACGCAGGAAATATGCTTTTTCACGTTAATTCATGTTTTTGACGCATGCGAGATGATTTTTTGTTCATGTTTTTACCGTCATTCCTTTTATTGCCGCATGAGGGACGCTACTTCACTTTCGTTCCCGTTTCTGAAGTATTCGATGCGCTTCTTTCACGTTTATAACTGTAATTCCAAGATTTGACGCACATTTAACGCTCACCTTGATGTAGACGCCCACCTCCTTGGTGGGATCCCAGCTGAAGCTGACGACGTTGAGCGCCGCGGCGGGCTGGATGACGTCGTAGGCGCCGTAGGAGAGCGGTACGTCAGCCTCGAGGATGCGGTCGCCGGGACGCGCCTTTTGCCAGGACAGCATCTGCTCTTTTTCGGTGTACTGGAGGCGGCGCTCGTGGAAGCAGATGCGGATCACCGACTGCAAACGATCGAAGGGTTACGAAGGCGGTCCCATTCTCAGAGTAAATAACAATACATAGACCCCGCGAATATTTCATGAATCATTGAAAAGAATACGCCAACAATCCTAAACGCCAAACACGGATGAATGAATGAATACGCGAATGGTGGGGATAACTATGCAGAATCATTGCCAGAGAATTCATATTCCTCATAGATGTATTTTATACATCAAATAAATCGTAGTATGTGTGTATGTCATTAATAAATTAAATTTGACGTGTTAAAAGCGTTCTTCATCAACAATAGCAAGCCATCAAACAAGACCGCCATTGGACCAAATTTCTACGTACCTGTAAAATATCAGATTACTAGATTAGGATATTTGTAACTGAATTTTCTCTACAGATTTGACACTTCCCAACCGTATTTATTCACAAAATAGTCTGCTTCAGATTTATAATACGCAGAAAATATGGCTAAAAGCTGGTTCACCCAAAACAAACTCAAATTGAATGAGAAGAAGACTCAAAACTTAATAGTCTCCTCTAATCCTCTTTATCAAAATGGACAGAAGGTATCTTTTTTTGGGTATTATAATCGATGATCGTTTAAATTGGTCCTGTCATGTAGAATATGTGCTTCCTAGGCTATCAAAAGTTCTATTTGTTATTTCTCCTTATTCCATTCGGTTATATCCTATGGCATCCTTCTCTGGGGTAACTCTAGCAATGCCATCACGGTTTTTCGATCGCAGAAAAAAGCGATAAGAATAATGGCAAATCTTGGATACAGAGATCATTGTCAGCCATATTTTATTCAACTTGGTATTATGCCTCTCCCTACCCTATATATATTTACTGTTCTGCTGGAAATACACAGTACCTTGAACAAGTTTCACAAACACTCCGACATACACAATTACAACACTAGATCTGCAGAATTCTTTGAATCTCAATTTATACAATGTTCTTGATAGTTCAGTTAAATCATTGGAATTGCAAAAATTCAAGATAATTGTCAAAAAGTTTCTTGTTGAAAACTGTTTTTACAATATACCAGAATACCTCCGTATAGCCAGTTCTCTCAGAGTATAAACTCTATTTATTTAGCAGATGTAGCTCACTGTCGGTCACTGTTGAATATTTAATTTTGTTCATCTAAATATATATTTATTTTTTATCTGTATAACTTTTAATCATCAACTATTCTCGTAAGTCATTCACTGTTTACTTTTAAGATTTATTTGAAACATTCATAAAAAATTTTAATGCAATTTTATTACATTTGAGTGTCGATATTTTAACTTGTTGTAAAAATAGTCCCTACTGTACTTCTCTGACCTGCCATAAACTTATCTGTATAATATAACATGGTTAAATAAACTACTCTACTCTACTCTATTATATGAGTTAAGGCTGCGACACAATTGAAGTTTCATGTAAATAGTTTCAAATTTTATAATCTAAGATTTAAGTATTATAAAATGAACACACAGGTCCTTGTGGCGAATGACAGAACACAAATTTATGAATTAGGAAATATGTTTCAAGATACGGACGTAATGGTTTTTATGATTTGAAATTTGGAAATCCAACCAATCACAGCAACTCTTGGTGTTGTTAGAAAATATGAAAACAATGCGCATTTTCATGATTATGATAAGTTCGATTATACTGACATAATAACCGAAAATAATACTATGAAATCACTAAATGTCCCGAGGAACTACCGCGAAGTGAAAAATATTCTGGTTTCTGCCACGCCTCTCAAACAACCTCATTGGTGGAATTCCAGCTTTTATATTTCAATTATGTTTTGCATCCTGCTTTTATTTTTGTTATTTATGTCTTGAATCATGAACCTTAAAACTTATTGCATAAAACTTCAACTTCAGCCCTTACTGAAACACCAAAAACTAATCTAACAATCAGAAAACCATTAACAACAAAAAACGACAAATGACATGAATAATTCATATTTTTTATTTTGTAATGTTCAATCGATGAATCATGATTTACATTGTACAGGGTGTCCCACTTAAATGTGTCACCTACTTTTATGGAATCATTTTCCCCGAATGTTATGAATCTATGCGCACTTTTTCTTAATATCAACAAACCACAGGATAGCTCCGAAAGAGGTTTTTATCCAAATGGAGTTATCAATATTTTTTTCCACTCGATGCAGCTTGTCAATCTGCATTCAAAAACATATATCGTTAATATATCATCATCAAATAAAATTCAGACCATTCCATTTGGAAAAAAAAGTTTTCTTAGCCATTTTGTATTTTGTTGACATACAGAACAAATTCAAAAATTTCGTGAAATATAGTTTCAGAAAAGAATTTGAATGACCAAAATATGGCGCTGCCATCTATAGTCACACGTACAGACCCCTACGTCTATACGCTACAGAGTGGTACTACAAGTAAACCACTCTGCTGACAGATGGCACTACCTGACATACTTGAGTAGAATTTTTCCACCACCTATTCAACTGCTAGATCTCATAACTAAGAGATCCAGGATGATCAGAGTTGCCCAATTGTCAGCAGGAGTGAAACAGTACTGTCTCGCTCGGCATCCCACCGACTTACTATCATTTTGACGTATTTGAAATCGCATGGTGCGCATGCATTAGTGGTAAAACAGTGTGTAGTGTACAGTTTCCTTAGTCGGAATGTACTATAGTGCAGTATTTCACTCACTTTCAGCAACTTCCCTCTGTAAAAGGACAAATCGCCGAGCTTCTTCAGCTTGATCTCGTAGCTCTGGCCCTGGTTGAGGTACGTGAGGGTGTCCTCGTTCCTCTTCGTGGCGATGCTGGTCGCCGCCGCCAACACGTATTGGAACCTCGTGTCGTCTATCGGGTGGTAGCTCGTCGACGAGACGACATAGCTGTCTTGGGAGGTGGGAGACGACAAGCTGTTACCTAAAATTGACAAAATAACATCAACGATGGTGACGCAGTTGCAGCAGTTTTTTGCGACCTTTCAGAGCATATTTGGAGATAACTGTTAGGAAATCTCTTCGCATGTTAGGCTTCGTTTTAAGAAATACGAAGGACTTTCGTAATCATGAATCCCTAATAACTGTCTATAAAACATTAGTGAGGCCGATATTGGAATACTGTACATGTATATGGAACCCTTTTCATGAAAAATACGTGGCAAGAATTGAAAATGTACAAAATCGTCATCATTTTACATATGAATCTAATTTAAACTTTTATAAAATAGAATCAATGTTCATCAGAAGGGAGTTCTTCGATATTCTGTTTACATATTGTAATGATATTTCCCTTAGAGGGGCTCTAGAAACATCATCAGTAAGACAGGAGTACAACGATCATCCTGTAACACGCATCCCAGATTGTTCTCCAACCTCCCAATGATTCCTACATACACCAGCATATTTCCGAACACTCAATATATGCCGCAGTGACAAATAACGTGACAGAAGATTCTGGAATGTTCTTGAAACAATCGATGGAACAATTAGAGAGAGAGGTTTTGTTCTAAGAAGCTTCTAGGGCTATATTCCGAATTCAACTGGTAAGTACTGTCAGTAGATCCACTGACTCTGGTGAAATGTTGTGCTCCGAAATATAAAATCAAAAATACAGTGCTGTAATTCGGAACACGTTTTCATGAGTAATCAGCAGCAGTTGATCAGCTGATGAAATTTGTCAGTTGTCATTGGTCTGACAGATGCTCCTGCTTGAGCTAAATAAATAACAGGCATTTTCTGATATCGAAATGATATTATTAATGTATTATTGATAAGCCAAGACTTAATGTTTGAAAAACAACGGAAATGAATGTGTCATTCCCTTCCCCTCAAAAATAATGACAGTTCACTGAAGCCACGCTACCTTTTGATAGTCAGCAATTTCAGTAGAATGTTGAGTCGAAATATTTGGAATGCATAGTATATCTGCTCACGAGTATCTGTCACTTTCAGTCAATTTTTTTGATTTCGGAATGAAAATTCAGCAGATTCGGTACTGTCAGTTGAATTCGGAATATAGCCTAGAACAAAAAGAAGGAGACGGAAGATCATTCGAGAACGTTCTCGAACCAAAGCCTTCCAAGGAATCTCATATATAACGGCCGAACAACTGCCGTCAGTCAGTCGAGCAGCGAGTGTCAGAGAGACAGTTATATACCGCGTGATAAAAATCGTTTTACATAAATAGTAGTTATAAGTTCGATATAAATTAGTGTTTCTTTAGTTTTAATAAATCAGTTCGAAAATAAATAGTGTCGTGTTCGCTTCTGCACCCGAATAACGTAACAATATAAAATATTGAATAATTTTATTGATTCACCAAATTGCACTGAATATTCAGTTTTGAACTGTAACCCAAGACTTGTGCGAAATCGCCTCACTTTCTACCCACCCTCTTATTCAACTAACTTTTATGTCACTGGAATATTGATTTCTTCTATTTCTATTAGAATATGATTAGCTTTAAGAAGAAACTGCGGCGATTCTAGCTTGATTTTCATGCACCCACATCAGTTGATAATTAAGATAGTATGTATTATTATTATTATTTCTACTATTTTGTTATAAGTTTACATGTTACTATTTATCTTCCTATTAAAGGATGAACCACTAAGGTTCATCTGTTTGGATGATCCACAAATGAATAAATAAATAAATATTTTGATAGATGACTTTGATATCATTTCAGTACTGAAAAAATCAATCAAATGAATTGTGATTGAAAAACTTCATCCTCACCGTCGATGACATTCTGCAGCCCGACCAGCCCGCTCTGGCTCAGCAGCTGGCTGATCGTGTTGCTGAACATGGTCTGGCTCGAAGTATCTTCCGCGCCGGCGCCATGCCCCGCCGCCCCGGCCTGCGGGTGGGCGGCCGCCGGGCTGCGCTGGGGGCGGTCCCGCGGTCCCGCGCCGCTCAGCGCCGTAGTCTCCGCCGTGGGCGACGGCGCCTCCTGCTTGAAGACGGTCAGGCCGTTGATGGACAGCAGGTTGTCGCTGCGAGGGAGAGAAACACAGTAAACCACGGTTGTCGGTGACTTTCTTGTTTATACGTGTGACGTTCTCCCATTTCACACTGCATGCCTTTTTGAGACTTTATAATTAACCCCAAAATATGAACAATAAATGGGTTCCTGGACGCCGCACGTGTGCACTTTTGTGCGGTTTTCTTTTTGTGAAGAATGATCGTGTTTTTCCGCGATATTATACTACCTGTCGTTGTAATATACGGAAGTTTGGACAAACTGGAGCGCTAATAATTGATATCATGCAATCCGCAGCGGCCGAAAGGTCTCGAAAGGTTTACGAAAAACTCAATAATGCAATTTGAACCTCTTTTCTTCAACGTTGAACGTATGAATACTAACACAATTCGAATTATACATAATTATGTTGAGTTACAATTGGATAAGAACGATATTACCAGTGCAATAGCAACATATCTCAGATGTGTTAGTTTTTCACCGAGGATGTGTCAGTTTCATAAGAATGTCATCAGAGTGTCATTTAAACAGTGTTTGTACCCGGTGAACAACTAAGAACGGCTGGCGGCCATATCACAGCAACGAATAATGATACAAGTCTGAGATAGAATAAATCTAATGGTATGCATATAATTACATGATGTAATAGAGAAACTAAATCTCAATAGACCAACGAAAATTGCAACATGATAGCTTTCCGCCAACGGAGAATATTAACTATCAAAGTTGGAAGAATGATAGATATGACAGCCGTTCTTAGTTGTTCACCCGGTACATATGATACCTTAGCTCTTCAAAAATCGGAAGGACAATAAATCGACATCGGTATTAAAGGTATATAAGTTTTGATGCATACTCAAATTTTCTAGAGTGACTCCGAATATTGCACAAAATTAAGGAACTTTTACCTTTTGCTCATGAAGCTTATGTCTTGTCACTACTTCAGTGAGTGGTTTGTTTTCCAGAGAAGATTGGATAAGAATAACTGCAAAGTTTTATGCATTTGACAAAAGCTAATTAATCATTATCCATTTTTTGCTTAGTAATATTCAATTAAAGTTGTTATTTTCAATCGTGAGTGAATTAGTATCGTTAGATTCGTCAAACAATCCTGTTTTCGGTAAATACCTGCCAAAAAATGGCCACCATTTGAAAAATTATAGATACAAAAATGTAATTTTGCTAACTTGTCTTATTCCTATATATCATAATACTATTAGTCACTCATATACCTTGATTATAATTTTCAAATGAGGTCGTTAATTAGATTAGTTTACGTCCCATCATGGCCACCTAAATAAAAAAGTTGATATGAAGTTAGCGTAAAAACTTTCAAAATTGTCCCTCAATCTTATCCTAAATTTATTCAGGAATTCAAGGGATACCTAATGTCGAATGTTGTTTCCGTGAGGTAAGGGGATAGTATGGTCACGTATGGTTACCAACCTTACAGTATATGGGTTGTTGACCAAATCACTCCCTCCCAGGCTGAGGGAGCTATCGATGTCTGTATTCAGATCAGTGTAATCTTCGACTTGCCAATGTGAATGTAGTTTTCCAGAGCCTGGAAAAAAACAAATACCTGAAACATACAATCAATTATCAACAGTCGATTTTTTTATTGATAGAATCAGTGCCTTCTAGAAGTGATTCTTGATAACAATACACCATTCATTTATTTTCAAAATTTTTCATGAATACAATACATTCACAGGGTAAAATAATCTATCCACTCAAAATATTGGAAGTTTGCTCATCAATGAGTTTGTTAATTCAAGTACGATTTTATTATTCTTTCCATCATAGCATTTGTAAATTTATGAGGAATCTGACACCTGACTAAACCTGACACCTGAGAGATCAAAGTTTTTAGTGCGTTCGAGGGTTGCATAAAATCCAAATGTAATTTTGGTGTACAGGGTGATTCACCATAAATGTCCCCCCCTCTAGCTCAGTTATTTTTTAACCGATTGCAAAATTTTAAATATCATCTCAAATGATTCTCGATAAAGTTTTTTCCGCTACATCAGAAAATACAGGATGCTCGGAACAAACGATCTACAGGGTACTATTTGATTTCTTTAAATGGAACACCCTATTTTTCATTGTATTCTTAGATTCTTCCTGAAGAGCTGATTTGATCAATGTATCACACTTGGGGTCTAGCGAGAATGATTACAGAGATATAGGGTGTTCAAAATCGAGATTTTTCAACTTTAGGATTTTTTTGTGACGAAACTATTCATTATCGGTCAAAACGGCTTCCATCTCCTTGTCGTAACTTTTTATTTACTACCTACTGACATTTGATAATTGGAACAGATACAGGGTGATCAGAATTCTGAATCTTGAACCACCCTGTAAATGTTCCGATTAAATGTCAGTAGATAGTAAATCAAATGTTGAGATGGGGACATAAAAGCCTTTTTGATCAATAATGAATAGTTTCGACACAAAAAAATCCTAAAGTTGAGAACATCTCGATTTTGAACACCCTATCTCTGTAATCATTCCCGCTAGACCCCAAGTGTGATACATCGATGAAATCAGCTCTTCAGTAAGGATCTGAAAATACAATGAAATACAGGGTGTTCCATTTGAAAAAATCAAGTAGTACTCTGTAGATTGTTTGTTCCGAGCACCCTGTATGCAACGAAAAAAATTTTCTGAAAAATCATTTCAAATTATTGTTCAAATTTTCAAATCGGTTAAAAAATGACTGCGCTAGAGGGGGGGACATTTATGGTGAATCACCCTGTACGGTATAAACATTTGATGGTAAATAGGGTTCTAAATTCAAAATTATCATTCGGAGGAAGATGAGAGTGAAAACGTCCCTCTTTCTTTTACTCTTTAGGATATTGTGATTTTGTTTGGAGATTTTTACTTAAAGAAGGTACTCTAGTTCAATTCTATATAACGTGCAATTTACGATAAAATCGACTTTGGAAACTTTCTGATTTACGTATGTTTATTGATGAAAGTTAATCTATATTACCATAGAAAAAATAATCATTTATTCTACAGTACAAAATTAGTAGATTTTAGCTCGAGGTTATGTTGACTAAAGACCGTGAGCTAAAATCTAATATTTTTCCTGTTTATCATACACTATTTTATTCTGCGACAGAAAAGAGGAGGAATAATTATTGAGAATACAGTGTGTCCCACTTACCATGCTCACCATGGTTATCTTTTTAACGGTGAGAGATACGAAGTCGGTTAAATGACACCAAATGTGGAGTTTGTCAAGGCCAACTATAATGTGAAAAAATATTTTGATAAAATCTATTCGTTTTTGTTTTATACGCGAAAAACAGATTTTGATCATTTTCATGTCTCCTCCGTAACTTCTTTATTTTTGAAAATATTCAATTAGGAATTTCACATTCTCATGGCAGTTTTTTGAAGTGATTTCGAAAAAAATATGAAATTTATACCAACTCTTCTAGAATTTGAGATATCAGCACCAACTTCAGTTTTTCAAATGTAGGTCATAGCTCACTATGACTTAGTTACAAATAACTTTTTTTTCTCTTACAGATGATATGTCGCAGTAATAGTTTTGTGTTGATAACAACGGAGTTATCGTCATTTATACAAAAACAAAAAATTATTTGGAAGCCACCATCTTGAATTTATAAATTTTAACAAAAAAATCCTGATCTCCGACCTCAAAAACCCCCACTTATCAATTTTGAATGGAATCGGACCAAATCTTGTCTGCCATCTTGGAGCAGCCATTTTTTTTATTTCAACAAAAATTCCATAACTCTGATTAACTTGAAATTTGGCTGGTGTCCATAATTTCGGTGACAATACATTATGAAATTTTTGTCAAATTTAAAAAAAATGGCTGCTCCAAGATGGCGGACAAGATTTGGTCCGATTCCATTCAAAATTGGTAGGTGGAGGTTTTTGAGGTCGGAGATCATGATTTTTTTGTAAAAATTCATCAATTCAAGATGGCGGCTTCCAAATAATTTTCTGTTTTTGTATAAATGACGATAACTCCGTTGTTATCAATACAAAACTATTACTGCGACATATCATCTGTAAGAGAAAAAAAAGTTATTTGTAACTAAGTCATAGTGAGCTATGACCTACATTTGAAAAACTGAAGTTGGTGCTGATATCTCAAATTCTAGAAGAGTTGGTATAAATTTCATATTTTTTTCGAAATCACTTTGAAAGTCTGCCATGAGAATGTGAAATTCCTATTTGAATATTTTCATAAATAAATAAGTTATGGAGGTGACATGAAAATGATCAAAATCTGTTTTTTGCGTATAAAACATATAGTTGACCTTGACAAACTCCACATTTGGTGTCATTTAACCGACCTCGTATCTTTCACCGTTAAAAAGATACCCATGGTGAGCATGGTAAGTGGGACACACTGTATATTACCATAGAAAAAATAATTATTTATTCTACAGTACAAAATTACTAGATATTAGCTCGAGGTTATGTTGACTAAAGACCGTGAGCTAAAATCTAATATTTTTCCTGTTTATCATACACTATTTTATTCTGTGACAGAAAAGAGGAGGAATAATTATTGAGAATATATTGAAATCAGAAAATTATCGACGTGAAATTCGAAGTTTTCAACAGCAATTACACCTGCGTCGCAGGCATCTTTGTCATTCTTTTGGAGTTATCAAATATATGTGATTAGATTTAAAAAAATTGGCGAACTTAGTGGTTGTTTAGTGATTTACGTAACTGCGAAGTGGAATGGAAGATAAAAGGCAGTTTATTCTCGGAGACAGTGTTATAGGCTTATTTTTCGAAACAAGCACAAGAATATCTGGGAAAAAAGTAATCACTTTTTCCCCACGGGAAAAAAGTAATTTATGAAAAGTGACATTTCATGACCTGCCAACAGAGATGAAATGTCAAACTTTATTCCCGTCACAGAAAAAAAAACTTTTTATATATAGCTCCGAAAAATGAGTCAATGATACCGTCTCCGAGAAAGAACTGCAAGTCCTTTTATCTTCCATTCGACTTCGCGGTTTCGTATATTACTATAAACAACTACTGAATTCGCAATTTTTCAAAATCAAATCACAGAATTGAACTGACAGAAGTGACATCAGATATTTGATTACTTCAAAAGAATGATAAAGATGCCTATAGCAGGTGTCCCTACTGTCAAAAACTTGAAATTTCACGTCGGTAATTTTCAGTTTTCGAAATAATGTAATCTTCCCAATATTGATTCGTCCTTCCTTCTGTCACAGAAAAAAATAGTGTATTATACACGGGAAAAATATTAGATTTTAGCTCACGGTTTTTAAAAATCTACTACTTTTTTCCCTTGTATAATAAATAACTATTTTCTAACATTTTATTCAACAATTTCGAATTTAGAATCTTATTAACCAACGAATGTTCATACCGTATTTGAATATTAAAAATTCAATTGTAAAGGGTTTTTTCTACTAGCGTACGGAAAAGCCCACTTTTCCGCACAACATCGAAAAAAAACTTTCAACAATAAGTGTAAAAAAGAATAATTTGGGTTTTTTCCGCACCCTAGTAGAAAATATAGTGTACATAACAGGTGCATAAAGTGACTATTCCTCACTTAGAAGGTAAACTAATATTTTCTACTAGCGTCTACTTTACTCATTTAGTGTTGTCAGTTTTCCGCACTAGTGCCTAAAAAAACTTTCAACGCTGAAATGAGTGCGGAGAAGAATATTTTTTTCATGAATAATATGGACACAAACACTCGTAGGAAAAACATTGTACCTAACTCTTGCAGAAAATGTATTTTCCACTCTCATTCATGCAACTGCAGTCGCGTGCGGAAAAATACCATTTTCCGCACTTGTTAGGTGAATAACTAATAGAGTTATAAAAGACAAATTTTCATTAAAGTGTCCTATTCGAAGGGGCATAGCTCCCTTTTAGGAAGCACTCTTGGACCCATATGAATAGGAACTTTTTGCCTTATTTTTATGCAAGGATTACGCCTCCTAAAGGATGCCGCTTACTTTTGATTCATCCTGTATATTCATAAATACTCAACTCCTAAATAAGCAACAAGATGATTTATCTCCTTCCACATGTAGTCCATAATACCGGGTGGCTCAAGTTGTTATCGATTACAGGCAATTTCTCGCTTATTTGACAAGATAATTGAAAAATTCAAAACTGCATTGAATGGCATTGATGTACCTTCCTCATGACATATAAAAAATCTGTTAAATTTTACAGTTGTCTGGCAGCTATCCCCCACTTTTTATTTTCAAATGGCACCCCCTGTATATTATTATCTTTATTATTCCCAAGAAACATATATGTTTATAGCAGGGAAAATTATGAAAGAGCAACTAAGAAACAAAACTTAGATAATCAGATAATCATTTTTAAATCATATACATAATACATAGAATGTTGTTTCTTCTAGAAACTGTTGAATATAATTTCTTGAATTGATTCAGGACGATATAAAGAGAATCAAAGACATAAGTATTTTTTCAGTTCATTTTTGAATTTCTCAACACTCAATTTTTTCTTTAGTCTGGCAGGTAATTCATTATAGAGCATTGTTCCATTGTATAAAAT